ATAGTGTAGCTGAAGAGCTTCGCAAAAGCCTTATGGGAAGGAGATACCTCATAGTGTTGGATGATATTTGGAGTCTAGAAGCATGGGAAGAGTTGAATAGAGTTTTTCCCTCATGTGACAATGGAAGTAGAATTCTCTTAACAAGCAGAGAAGAAAGTTTGGTTTCTGATGCCAAACATATTCATCTTCCATTCTTCACTACTGGTGAGAGCTGGGAATTATTGCAAGTGAAGTTATTTAAAGGAAAGGGATGTCCTAAAGAGCTTGAAAATGTTGGAAGAGAAATATCTAAAAAATGTGGGGGATTACCTTTGACAGCTGGTTTGATAGCGGGTCTTCTTGAAAAAGTTAAAAAGAGTGAGCAAATGTGGCGTGAATTTCTTCTTACTCTAAACTCACATGTTACATTTGGAGACGGAATACAAAGCAATGATGGGATAGAGCTTAGCTACAAGTATTTATCAAATCATTTGAAACCATGCTTACTTTACTTTGCTGCTTTCCCAGAGGATGAAGTAATCCAAGTTTCGAAACTAATAAAACTATGGATATCTGAATGATTCATCATATGAATGACAGAGAATGGGAGAGTAGAAGATGAGGTAGAGGATTACTTAAACCATCTGAATTATGATGGTCACATCATATCATGCACGGTTCATGATTTGGTACGTGACTTTTGCTTAACAAAAGCTAGAGAAGAAATTTCTTTGGAGACAGTTAATATGAAAAAAAGTGGGATCCAACTCTGAATTTTACCCCACATCGAATATGTTTTCATCCAAGGACATTTGAAATTTCTTCTGAATGGGTACCACAGAATTCTTCTATTCAGACAGCTTTGATTTTCCCATATTGTGATAAACCCTTTTATAATGCCTCATGGATTGGTACAAATTTTGAACATCTCACAATCTTGGATTTAGAGGGAATCAGTGTGTACCAATCATTTCTGTTTGAAGTTAGCTTACTAACTCATCTAAGGTATCTAGCTCTTGATGTAGGTGTACATGGAAATGATGATGCAGATGATGTCTCACCATTATTACTACGGAATCTTAAGTGTCTCGTAATATTAAAGTTGCGATCAATCAAGGTGCATTTCCCAATTTTTTTGGGGAATATTAGTACATTGAGACATCTGATTATTACTGGTGGTGTCAGTTGCAATAAGTCTTGCATGGAGAAATCAAGATCAGTTATGATTGAATCAATTCCTGCTTGTTCAAAAGAATTGCAAACCTGGGAATCGGAATGTCCTCTCACTCCAATGCATGAAGATTTATTGAGAAAGTTTCCCTGTCTCAAAAAATTGAGTTGTGGTGTCTCAAGTTCTGAAGGCTTTCCTGAAATTGATTTTCTCCATCATCTTGAAACTCTTCAGTTGTTCAGTAATAATTATGAAAGTTTTCCACTTAGCAAGTTAGCATCGAGTATTAAGGAAATACGCTTGCATTTTATAACTCTTTCGGTGTCTGCAATTTCAACAATCGCACAACTTCCCAATCTTGGGAGTCTAATGCTATTCGATTGAAAGTTTGAGGACTTAGAATGGAATGTGGAGGAGGAAACCAAATTCCCCAAACTCAAAATCCTCCAATTAGTTGGTGTTGATATTGAAATATGGAATATTAGTTGTGCTGCTGAGTCCTTTCCTTGCCTTGAGCAATTAGATTTGAGATACTGTCGAAACTTACTACTAATGCCTTCTAATTTTGATGATGTTTCAACATTGAAAAAGATCTTTGTGAGGTATTGCAATTCCAGTATTGAATGTTGGGTGAAGGAAAATGAGGAATCTGCACGGAATATAGGAAACGAGCAACTCAATGTCGATATATTCAGTATAATTCTTCACTTTAATTTTCTCATTATCATTTTTGACTTGGTGTTTAAATTGACAAGTTTGTAAAATATTAATGAATACAAAATTGAGTTATATTATGAGTCAGTCATATAAAAACATTCATCAAAACATGGGTTTATACGTCCTGTGGCTTTCATATTGTTTCTCTCATGATAGTATATGTACAAATCACTTTTTTTTTGGGTGGTACATAATAGAGTTAGGATTAAATTTTAAAGAAAAATGTTATATTCTATTACTCAGTATGCATTGAACACATTCTAGACAAAACATGCAAAATGCTTTTGGTGTGTCCAGTCCTACTAAATCTCTTTTCTTGTTTATTGAAATGATTGACAGAGACATGGCTTAGCTCTGAGGATGAGTTAATATATGATAGTTCTGATTCCAACTCTGAGCATGAGTCTTACTTTGTGAATGAGACTTGGATCGGAATAAATTCAAATTAGTTGTAGATGCTGGATGAGGAAATTTGAAGGCAGGTACGTTAAAATAAAAAGAGGAGAAAGGAGGAGAATGAGAGCAGGAGTGTGACCAAAGTAATGCATAGAGTAATCACACCTTGATATTACTTTATTTTATGTTTTAAATTTGAATAATAATATTGATATTTCTCTACTTAACTCTTTTCTTTATATTTACTCTGTACACGCATTCTATTCGAATATAATTGTGACACCCCGTAAATCCAAATTCTAGTTAAGGATTAATTAGATAATTAATCCTAGTTTTATTGGTAATTTATTCCTTAAATCCTGAAAATTTAATACTCGGAGGACTAGAATTTGACTAGTCAATCCAAGTCAAAGAGTTGTACCTTATGCCTAGTGAGTTGTTCCCTTGTCTCCTTATTCTTCCAACTTTAGTAAGGGCAAAGGGGTCTTTCTACCTAAACTTTATGCTCCAAGCTAACCTAGCATCATCCCTTCATTTCATCCACCAACACTCTAAACACAAAACCTCTACCTTCTCTCTAGGAATTTGGTAGCTTCTTCTCCAAGCCAAAATTTGGGCATCTTAGATCCTACAAGTTGGCTTCCAAGATTCATACTTTCCTAATCTTGAGCATAGGGGAGGGTAAGATCCTTGATCTCTTGGTGTTTTTAGCATCCTTTTAGGCTCTGTTTGGCAGAGCTTATTTAGGAGCTTATAGCTTATTTTAAGCTACTAATAAGCTATAAGCTCTGTTTGGTAATGTTCCCAAAATAAGCTCCTAGCTTAAAATAAGAGCTTATTTTAGAACGCTATCTAAAGTAGCGTTTCAAAATAAGCTCCTAGCTTCCTAACTTTTTTTCCATCTTTATCCTTATTATTTTAAAGAAATGACATAATTTACCCTTCCTAATTAAAACTTTTTTCTCTTCTCCTTTATCCGCAACTTTCACCGCAATTATTATTATTATTATTATTATTATTATTATTATTATTATTATTATTATTATTATTATTATTATTATTATTATTATTATTATTATGAGATTTGCAACAATATTGCTACTTCATTATGAGATGCTATATCATGATACTAATAGTTTTATTTCAAAATATTAATTTTTTTAAAGACAAAATGTTAAATTTTAATATGTAAACCAACTAATTTAAATTTTATGAAGATGTCCTTTTTAGTCTTTTTACATTTATCAGCTTATCAAAAAGCTAATTTTACCAAACACTTTCAATCATAACAGCTCTTTAGTTTTCATCTCTGAGCTTATAGCTTTTCAGCTTTCAGCTCTTAGCTTATAGCTTTTCAGCTATGTTTGCCAAACAGAGCCTTAGTTGTCTTTTTCTAAAAATAGAATCTTTGATGTCTTTTGGGTTGTTTGTGAAGTTGGTGTTGAAGAAGAGCTTTAGGAGAAGCTTTCTAAGGTTGGAAAAGGGAAGTTCTAGGCTACAAAGGTAACCCATGCTTTACAAAACCTATTTTCTTACTTATATGATGATTTCTTGGCTTCTACTTGTGATTCTTGTGATGAAATGTGAGATTTGATGCATTTTCTTGTGGTAATGCATGTTTAGAGCTTGTTCTTAGGGTTCTTGTATGCCATTGCTTGGATATTTCTTGTGCTCAAGTCATACTGTTGTATTGTGTGAGATTTTGGGTGTTTTGGACTTGAATTTGGACTTGATGTTGAAAATACCCGAAGGGATTATTTGGTGTACAGATCGGTACCCACGGGCGGAACGGCAGGCAAAGCTCCACCCGCCGCCCCACCCGCGGGGTATGTATCTCGTGGGCCTTGGTACTCGCGGGCGGAACCACGGGTGGTTGTCCACCTGTGGCCCCACCCACGGGGAACACATATTGATGTTGGCGGGGATTTGTTCCCCGTGATTCTTTTGACTCGGTATTGATGTTTTGACCTCCCGATGTTGTTTTATTGGGCGTTTCATGCTTGTGGTCCAACTTTGTGATTCTTTGGATTGATGTTGAGTCTTGAGTGTTCAATGGAACTACTTTTTGCTTACCCATTTGATAAGCATGGTTTGAGACCATAAGTTGACCTTTAGGTATCTATGAGTTTAGGACTTAGGACTTCTAGGACGCGTGGTGAGCTGTGTGTTGTTTACCGTTTGTCCTGTTTGCTTCGTTGTTTCTGCTTAGCTTAGCGTTCTTTTAGTTAGCGCCAGGTAAGGGTGCGTTGTTTGCTTGTGCTGACCGTAACCGTGTTGTTGTTGTAGAAGCTTCGTCATGGCTACACCTCGTCAACGCGCTCGTACGCCCGAGACACCAACAAACGAGCAGCTGGCTCAGAACTTTCAACATCTGACGCAAACAATGCAAACCTTGAGTGAAGCTCTTCTGCACAACAACCATCCTGCTCCGCCGCCGTAGCCTGCCGGACATCGGGATGTGGGACGTCTAGTCTCGGGACATAGGCCACTAGTGTTCGGTGGAGAGGATGATCTAGTGATACTCGAGGAGTGGATCAGAACCCTCGACAAGATCTTTGCTGTCATAGGATACCCTGAGGATCGTAGAGTGGAGCTGGCCCCTTTCTACTTTAGTCATGAGGTTGATCTCTGGTTGGTACATGAGGGCCCCGCATGTCAAGAAGAGCCCGACTTCGACTGGACAGCCTTGAAGGACCAGATGAGAGAGCGGTTTTATCCATCGCATGTCTGAGCCGCCATGTACGAGGAGTTTTTACATCTCCAGCAGGGCTCATCTTCTGTGGTGGAGTACCACAAGCGCTTCTTGGAGCTTGCCTGCTTTGCAAGGATGCTAGTCCCCACCGAGCTTGCGAAGGTTGAGAAGTTCGTGGCTGGACTCAACTATGAGGCCCGGAAGGCGTTGACTGTGAGCAAGCCGAGGACCTTGAAGGAGGCTTATCTGAGCGCTACCGATCTTTACCGGGTACAACAGTTACAGCGAGGGTCGTTTGAGCCCGCTAAGAAGAGGAATGAAGGCGGTGGACCCCACCGTTTCAAGAAACCGAGACAAGACTTCCGAGCCAAGAACGCACCTTCCCCACCTCAAGGATCAACCCGAGTTGAGTCTAGAGATCAAGCCAAAACCTTTGCATGCAGAAGGTGTGGAAAGGATCATGTGGGAAAGGATTGCCAGGGATAAGTGTTGCGATGCTACAAGTGTGGGGAATGATGGCACAAGGCCTTCGAATGCCGGTCCTAATCTAATCAAAGAGCTTTGCCACCTAGCTCAGGATCCGGTGGAACTTCGGGAGGGAGTTCGAGTCGAGGTGCAGTTGGAGCAAGGCCTTCGTGTCGAGTGTTTGTGATGGGCCGGTCCCAAGCTGAGCCGGTCCCAAGTAGTTCCATAGAACATACAAGACTCATCATAGTCCAACGAATCACAAAGTTGGACACTTAGCACGATTCAAGACACCAAATCTTACACGGATTCCTAACATACCATTCTAGACATACGAAACGTCAAGAAGACACTCAAATAGGCCAATAAAACAACATCGGGAGGTCAAAATATCAATACCGAGTCAAAAGAATCACGGGGAACAAATCCCCGACTAACCTCAATATTCTACCCCGTGGGTGGGGCCACGGGTGGACGTCCACCCGTGGTTCGGCCCGCAGGTACCAAGGCCCACGAGATACGTACCCCACGGGTGGGGCGGTGGTTGGAGCTCTGCCCGCCGTTCTGCCCGCGGGTACACTCCTGTACCACAAAATAATCCCTTCGGGGATTTTCAACAACAAGTCCAAAACACCCAAAATCTCACACAATACAACAATATGACTTGAACCCAAGAAATAGCCAAGCAATGGCATACAAGAACCCTAATAACAAGCTCTAGACATGCATTACCACAAGACAATGCATCAAATCTCACATTTCATCATATAAGTAAGAAAATAGATTTTGTAAAGCATGGGTTACCTTTGTAGCCTAACCCTTCACTTTTCACACCCTTAAAAGCTTCTCCTAAAGCTCTCCTTCAACTCCAACTTCATAAACACACCAAAAGACAACAAAGATTCTATCTTTATAAAGAGACACCTAAAAAGATACTAAAAACACCAAGAGATCGAGGATCTTACCCTCTCCTATGCTCAAGGTTAAGAACGTATGAATCTTGGAGACCAACTTGTAGGATCTAGGATAGGATGCCCAAAACTTGGCCAGAAGAAGAAGCTACCAAGTTTCTATAGAGAAGGTAGAGCTTTTGTGTTTAGGGTGTTGGTGGATGAAATGAAAGGATGATGCTAGGTTAGCTTGGAGCACAAAAATTAGGTAGAAAGACTTCTTTGCCCTTACTAAGGTTGGAAGGATAAGGAGACAAGGGAACAACTCATAAGGCATAGAGTACAACTCTTTGACTTGGATTGACTAGTCAATTTCTAGTCTTCCGACTATTGGATTTTCAGGATTTTAGGAATAAATTACCAAATAAGCTAGGATTAATTATCTAATTAATCCTTAAATAGAGTTTGGATTTACGGGGTGTGAACTCCAACGTCTATATGGTACAGCTGCATTTAATGAAGCAGTAAATGCACAAGGCTCTCTGGTTATTATCCAACGGATCATAGGTTTGAAATGCCATCTCCCTCCAACGGATGGATTATTTCTCTCCTATAAATACCCATCTTCTCCATGATAGAAGGTGCTGGTTTTTAGAACAATCGAATACTCATATTCAAAAGCTCCTTATACAACTTCATTCTCTCAAACTTTTGAAAATAGTGATTCAAGGTGTGAATTTTGCAAGAAGACGTATCCGATCTCATTCACTTAGCCTTGAAGAAGTCTTGCAATTTTGTATACATTGATTATCCATCAATTCCCCAGCCAGTCAAGACTTCATCGAGTTGGAGAAACTCGAAAATTATTTTCATCCAATCCTCAACTCTGAAGATGACGTTGATAGAGGCAGAGTAAACTCTAGGAGTTGAAAAACCTTCAAGTAGCTGTTCGGTTTAGTGATCAAGGAAGCTATCTTGGTGTAATTTGTACTAGGAGTGATAGTGAAAACCTTTCACAAGTTGTGAAAGAAGAGTGGAGTAGGCACAGTTGGCCGAACCACTATAAAAATCTCTTGTCTCTCTCTCTTTACTTTTCAGTCCTTTACTTTCATGCATTGCATATCATACGTCCTTAACCGAGAGCTTTCTTAAAAGAGCAAACAGTGCAAAGCAACTTAAAATCTATATAACATATCTGCTGCGTAATAACTCCGAAAGGAGTTATTTTCGAGAAAAACGAATTGAGTTTATTCAACCCCACCCCCTCTAGACTCTCCTTTCGACCTTACCGGGACCAACAGTTTTTAATCACACCTAATGGTGTGTTTTTGGTGATGCATACATAATTTGTGTGTGTTTTTGTGGTGTATTTTCCTAACGTTGATGGTGTATATTTGTTGAACTGTTGGTGACACCCGCACCGCCGCACCGTAAGCCACCGCCGCACTTGAACCTTCCCCTCTCTCTCTCTCTCTCTCTCTCTGTCTCTCTCTCTCTCTCTCTCTCTCTCTCTATATATATATATATATATATATATATATTACATTTACGAATTAAGAAATTAAAGATGTTATTTTATTTTTCAAGTGACTTGTTATAACAAAAGGTCATTGGAGGGTTATTGTTTACTTGTAAAAAAAAAAAAAAAGACAATTACATTATGTTTATATTGTTGTTGAATGGTTTAATTACACACTTTTATTTAGTGATTTTATTACACAAATAATACAAATTTGATGACTATTGTAAATAAATATATGTGGACATTAGTAGATGACTTGTATTATGATAATACCCCTTCATTCATTATAGATTTATAGATTTGTACTAGAACTCTTTATAAGAGATGGATGTTTTCTCTCTATATCTTGTCTTTCTCTTTACGACTTTACCTTATTACTCTCCTGCAATTAAAACGATACAATTGAATTTTTTGCACTTTTAATCTCACAATAAGTATTATGACATTAATAGGATTGCTCCACGACTTTCGAACCATACAAATTTAGCTTGATCCATGACTATATTTTTTTTTTAGCATAAATAGTCCTTCCGACTCAATCTCCCTCCATTTGTAACCAGTATTAAAATTTCTCCTTTATAACAGGGTTCAAATAGTCATTTTATTTAACTAATGACCTGAAATAGAAATAAAAAAGAAAAAAAAAATCGATCACTATCCTCCTCATGGTGTTAAGCAGCCCGAATGAATCTGATGATGATTACAACATACACTACATAGAATTCCAAAACGGGAGGCATATGTGCAGTGGCTTAGCTTAATTAGCTTCCATGTCCGATCAAGTCCAGAGATAGAGACTCTCTTTTTAGAGGGTCCTGTGTTGTAGCTAGCGGTGGCGGCGGCGGCGGCATTGCTAGATCGAAGCGGTAAAACCCGCCCCGCCAGCTAGTACTGCAGCTGCTGAAGGTTATCCCTTTTCATTTTTATTTATATTTCCCTTTAGAGTAGTGGGTTAAATAAAATGACTATTCTAACCCTGCTATAAAGGGGAAAAAAACTTTTTCCGGTCATAAATGGACGGAGATTGAGCCGGAAGGACCATTTGTATTAAAAAAATGACAGTTATGCATCAAGTTTGCAAGTTTTGAAAATCGTGGAGCTTAGTATCAACCACAATACTCGTAGGATTAAAAGTGCGAAAAATTCGGATACAACTGTTCATACGGGAATACATTCAATTTCACAACATAATTATCAGCACGAGTGCTCTACATCCTCAGATCTCAGTACGCATTCTATTTACATGTACTATCGGATAATATGGATATTTTCTATTGATAGATAGATTTTGATTTGTATTCTTAATTTCATTAAACCTGAAAATTTGTAGAGCGCAGCACACAGTGATTTCGAAACTGAAGTCAAACAATTTGTAACGCAGTTCAGGCAAACAACCCTAATCTGCGAGGCACTTCTCAATTTGAGAACTTGCCTAAATCCACTAAAAGCTCAATAATTAAAGTACACTGTTTGGAACCTGAGATTACACAATAGAATGATCTTTCCTACCAAACTATTGAAACATAAACACATGTACTACTTTCAAGGGGAATTAAGTATCCTATTCTCAAAGACTCTCGTACCTCACAATTAGATCTTGAATGCTTGGAATCTACAGTAAAGGACATCCCCTATTTATAGTAGCTATTCCTAACAGATTCGTGAATAACAAACTATTCCTATTCAAAATAGAACTAGAAAATCTTCAACAACAAATCCCCTTAGAACTAGTATTCTTCAATAATTATTCCTCTTAGGACTGATATTCCTTTATCGAACTGGAATTCTTTTTGCACATAACTTTGACAAAATACTTTGAGTCAACATTCTCCCCCTTTGTCAAATTTTTGGCAAACACCTTGGTCTCTGTCTTTCTCCCCCTTAGTTGATGCCACAGTGGTGTTTGATTGATGGTAGATTAATGATAGGTTAGATCACCATCCCCATGTGTAGCTTTTATCAGATGATCTTTTCCCCATCATAACACATTCATGTTTTTGGTTGTAGACTTTACAATTCTCTTTGGAAAATTCTACTTTGAGTTCATCATCACACAGTTGACTTATACTGATAAGGTTTTCTTTGAGTCCTTGTACCAAAAAGACTCTTGGTAATCTGGGCAGTCCATGGACATTCATGGTACCACTTGCGATAATCTGTCCTTTTCCTCCATCTCCAAAAGTGACATGCCCTTCATTTTTGTACTGGATATTCTCAAGATAATGTGGATTTCCTGTCATATGTCTTGAACATCCGCTGTCAAAATACCAAACACTTTGTTTTTGGCTTGTTTCTGAGGTATACGCAACAACTTGTGTTTGTTCCTTTCTTACCATACTTTCTTGCTGTTATTTTTGCTTTGTACTACCCAATCTCTGTTGTTTTTTCTGTAATAGAGATCATTTTGTCTTTTGAAGCAGTACGCCTTTATGTGTCCCAATTTGTGGCAGTAATAACTGATTCTCCTTCGGTGTTGGAAGTGATGTTGTGACACCTCAGGATTTTCATAAGAGTGGCTTTCACTGCACGCTGGATTTGGAGATCTAGGCCTTCCATCTAGTGCCTTGATTTCTTAACAGTTTGGCCTCTCTGTTTTTAGATTCTAATAA